CCATTTTCACACGTTAGCCAAAAATCCCGGGAGAACGGGGGGGGGGGGGATAATAATAATTCTGGCTCAAGGAGGAGAAACCCCATATCCCAGTGTCCTCTATGAGGACCAGGCCTGCCCTCTGGGTTCGGGTTTCTGGCCCTCCATGTCACCAGCAGAGGAGGCCGCCAGGGGGAAAAGTCAGATTTATTTGTTTTTCCTCTTTCTTAGGGTGCTTAGGACACCCTTCCTGCATCATCATGATTCAGGAAAAGCCAGGAACTCGGGCTTCTAAGACTGAACCCATCAAGGTCACGGAGCAGGAAGAATAATAGAAATATATATCCTTTTTTTTGGTGTTGCTTGGTTGCCTCCCTCTTTAGAAAAAAACAGCGGGGTTACGTAAGAGGCCGGTTTCACGCCAAGGGGAAGGATCCGGATCGGGTGAATCGCAAGGCGGTCCCTCCCTCCCCCCCCCGCTCCCTCTTTGACCCCATAAGTCTTCCCCCCCAATAGAGTTTCCTGAGCCAACTCCTGAGAGGCAGCCCACAGTTAAGGGGTCCGAACTGTTTCAGGGCAGGGAGGGGGGAAAACGTTTGGGGGAGGCTGGATGGGACACGTAGTTCTCTAAATGGAAAGGGAGGAGGGCTTGTGGGGTGGCGAGGGGGACGGTGGGCCCTATTAGAGGCATGGAGAGACACCCAAAGGGGGGGAAAGGGTGTGGTTTTTCAGGGGGAAACGGGCTCTGTAGTCCCGCTCGCAGCTGAGAAGCGTGGAAAAGGGGTGAGAACGATTAGGGAAGCATGGGATATGTGGTGCCTCTCCTAGAGAAATCAGCCAGATGGGAGGGATGGGAGAAGGACTACCCTGTATCTCAAGAGGACTGGCAAATAGGGCGGGGTAGTGGTTCATGGGACCTGTAGTGCACCTCCTGGTGAAGGGGGGCGCCCTGGTTAGGGGATGATAGGACCTGTCGTTAAGGAAAGGAGGGAAGGCGCGATTCTGATTAAGACCAGGGCTCTTCGGGTGGGATTTATGGAGGGGGAGGTAGCGCCGGCTCTTCCAACCCCCGGCCCCTCCGCCCCCCGCCAGGCCCGGTCCTCCGACCCCGGGGAAGGGGGGGAGCTGCCTCCCGGCCTCCGTCGGCGGCCATATCGGTCCCAGCGGGGAGGCCCCGTCCCGCCCGGTCCCCTGGTCCGGCCGAGGCCGGCGGATGGCTCACCATGGCGGCGGATGGCGTCGGATGCTCCGCGGGCGCTGAGAAGGGAGCGGGAGGGAAGAGGGGGAAGAGAAGGCAGGCCGGCAACAATGGCGGCGCGCAGGCTCCAGCAGCGGCCCTGTCTCGTTGGCAGGGGCCGAGCGGGNCTTTCCTTTCTCTCTCTCTCTCGCACGCGCCCCCCAAGGAGTGACGTAAGGCCGGCCGAAGCGGCGCATGCGCAAGACACTGTTTTGTAACCGACCCGGAAATGGGGAAAGCGCCGTGTTCCAACCACGTGGCGGCGGTGCCGGAGCGGGGTTGGTAAACCAGCGCTTCCGGGTGTCTATTCGCCCTCTCTCGCACTGTTACGTTTTTAAATGTACAGTATTTCCTGTACAATATAAATATTTATTTTAAAGTATATATTTATATATGAAAACAGAAAACATTATAGATCAATATTTATATGTGAAAACAAAATTATATTGTTTTCATATATAAAGGTACAACAGACATGTATTTTATGACTACATTGAAGGCTGCCCATTCTAGGGTTCTATCTACATCTTTGAATAAACAATAGAAACAACACACAAGGACACTTAAGGGATGTGTGTGCCGTACGTTTTGATGCAATTGTTTTAATATTTTGACGTTACATGTTATAAACTTTTAATTTTAAACTGTTTTCAGATTGTCTTAAGACAGCTCACCCACCATACAATCATGCAATCTTGGTTGGCCTATAAACACTTTAAATGCAGCCATCCGTCAGATGACAATCAACAGGAATATCTAATTGTCAGATAACAATTAAATCCACTTGAATACTTCTGTGCTATCAGGTGGTTAATAGAACCTAATTGATAGCCAGTGTTAATATGATCAGTGTTAATATCAGTACACATGTCTATAAAGAAAATAGCTCTGTTTTGAAGTGTGGTGGTGATCACTATAGAACAAAACACCTGTATGTATATTTTGGTGGTGGGGGGCATCATCTATCAGTCAAATTCCTTATTTCTCCGCTGGGAAAAGGACGGAGGTTTTTCTCGGCCAGACTGAAGAATCAAACTATTTTTTGAAAAGCCTCCAAATTCAGGAGCAGTGCACCTTAAAAGAGTACCAGAAGCTGGGAACAATCAGGATGCAGAAGGAGAGAAGGCCATCCTGTTTCTATGGATTGTCAGCTCACTGACTGTTGGAAATGGAGCAATGATCTTGTTTTGCCGATGCTAGTTAGGCCTTTGGATTATTCTGCTGCTCTTACAGCCGACTAAGCAAAACTCTCATATTTATAAGCTCTTCACCACCAAACACAGCATGTTAAGAGGTCAGGAACTGATGATCCCCATCACCCCTTCAGATCTTCCCTTGAATTAAACATCCGGCCCCCCTGCCCAAGAAATAAGACACAAGCTTGATCCCGTCCAGCCAAAATAAACATGATACCAATTCTTCTGTCAGGACACCAAGGCGCAGCCAGTAGTCTTAACTAAAATTGAAATATTTCCTTTTATTTTATTTAACAAACACTATAATCTTGAGTTTTGAAGAATGTGTATTGGTGGAGGAAAGGAAAAAAAACAAGTTTCTTTTTTTTACAAAAAAAAATGGAGAGAAAGGTGGAAGGAAAATCAAGATGTAGAAAGAGACAGGGTAAACTTAAAAAGAAAGAAAGGAACCGTTATGTACAGCATGGAAAAGTCTGACCAGCTTGAGGGTAAGAAAAAAATAGGGAAAGAAAGCAAAGTCTCAGGGGGGTGGGGTGGGCAAAGGTTTTAAACACACAATTAAATTAGAATACAAATATCCAGGCTGGGGAGCTGGGGGGAAGACTCCTATATTACTGCGTGTCTAAGGACGCAAGCCGCAACCTGTACAGAAAGATCAGTCCAAAGTCTAAAAACGGATTTGAAGCAGGTCCGTGCATGGGGGGTGGAGACGGTCTATCGCCTTGTTCCTTAAAATCACAAACATATTGCTTGAACTTTGGATGCACATTTTTGGGGTGGGGGTGGGGGGGGAAGGAATAGCCAGCGAAGGAACAGAGAGATGGGGCGGGAAGGGCAGAAGACACCCCCCCTGAGAAGAACTGGGATGGGCCAAGGAGCGCGAAGGCTATTCAAAGTCTTATTTGACATCCGGCTGTTCGCTTTGGCCGCTCTTCTACCTGCTGGATGTTCCTGGGGGAAAAGTTTCCTAAGACAGACTCTTAAAAATCACTTGCATGTGGAAGGGAGAAGCAGCGGAGGGCAAGGAAGGATGGTGAATATTGGCTTTTAAAACAAGAGAAACCCACTTCCGTAGATGGGGGGTGTGTGTCTCTTCATCCTTCCTCCCTGCGCTCTGGGTTCCAACCTCCCTGTGAGCCGGCTGCTCTTCCAGGAACAAACAACGTCCCTTTTTAAAGGCAAAAATACGATCGGCAGGGGAGTTTGCCATTTTTTTAATAAACGGACACACCAAAACTCAAGGGCCGGATTTTCGGAGTCTGTCTGGCCATGCCAACCCTGGGGGCATTGCCCCCCCCGTGCTTCTCCACGGAAGGGCTCAGCGTGTTCCTTGAGGGGTTGCAAGCCTTCGAAGAGACATCGGACCGATGTCTTTAAGAGGATCCGAGCGTGCACGTAACGAGAAGAAGGAGGATCACGACAGTCCAGGGGCAATTTTAAAACCACCACACCCAAGACAGTTCCCTATAGGCAGCATCCAACGGCTCCCCTCCCGGGTCCCCACATTGCAGCTCCAATGCCTGCGATCCACCTACACCTGAATTTATTTATTTCTTTATTATTCATTTTTTAAAACCGAGGTAGTTGGCTAGAAACCGGAAAGAAAGGGAAGAAGGAAAGAGAGAGAGCGAGAGAGGGGGAAAAAAACCCAACCAAAAACAACAACCCGGAGTTGGTATTTTATATATATATGTATATATATTGTGGTTCTGGAAGGCTCGTCTGTTCCTCTCTTTACTCCCCAGTAAGCCACTCAGTTTTTCGGAGTGGAAGGCAAGGGGCAACAGAGTCAACAGGCCTTTCCCTGTCTTCCAAAAACGAGCCAAGTTATTGCACTTTAAAACAACGACAAACGAGAATTTGTGGTTTGAGCCCTTCCCGTGTTTCTGAACAACCTCCCCCCCCAAAATCCGTGCCCCCCAACCGTTCTCACACCCTCCTTCCCTCCCACCTGCCCGCCTCCAATGGCTTCTGTTCAACTTTAAAAGGTGGGGAAGGAAGTGCCTCAAAGACTCGCTATGCTAAGAACCCTAACCCTTATTTTCAGAGAAGGCTAAAAAAGAAATTCCAACCTGTTCTTTACATGAGGTTCTTCTTGTGGTTAAGAGGTGGCAAAAGGGTCTTACGTCACCTTGTTGGCTTTATTCCCCCTCCGTCCCACCCTTTCCAGTCCTCCTTTCCCTCCCTGAACCCCCCCAACTTTCCCAAATTACCTTACGTGCCTATGGAACAGGGAATAACTCTGGGAATCTTGCCTAATTCTAGAAACCCACTCGGTGGTTAAGGAGGGAACACACACAAACAGCGCTCCAAACTCCTCTGCCACCACAACCAAATGCCCCAAGGATTTTTTCTTCTTCCTTTTTCCAGTAAGAGCAAAAGAGAGAAAGGGGGGGAAGTGGGGGCGGGGGGGGAAGAATCAGGAATGATTAGTCGTTGGACAAGGCGAAAATGAAAGGGGGAGAAAAATAGACGCACACAAACAACTTTGGAGAGACCCGTGAAAAGTTCAGCCAACCCACCAGTGTCTGGACAAAACGTCCTGTTCACCAGCATCAAGGTTGTTTTTGCTTCCTGCTCCCCATGCCCCAAAGTCACGGGGATGGCGGGGCTCAGGGAAGAAGGGGGCCGAAGAGGGAACGGAGTCAGTGGTCATTCCCGACAGGCCGCGTGCATCATCGGAGGCGTGCCTTTTGCTTCCTGGAGCCGCAAGGCGTCCGCCCACTCATGTGCTGCCCCTGCTGTGCGCCCTTCAGAGGGGAAGGTCTCTCTCTCTCTTTCTGTCTGTCTTTGCAGTCTCCGCTTGGAAGTCCACAGGGAAGCTCCGGAAGAGGACGAGACGGACGAGATGGCGCAGAGGGGAGGAAAAAACACCGAAGCCCTCTTCTTCCCGGATCTGAGAAAGCACCAGGGTATTCAAGCTTTTCCATAAGGCCGTCGCCGGAGCCGGCCCTGAGGTCAGCACGCAGAGGCCAACCCGTTCTTATATAGGCGCGGCACTTTTCGCTTCGGTGCCCCGTCATCGTCTTCCTCCTCCTCCTCCTCTTCCTCCTCCTCTTCCGAGGAGCTGCTGTCCAGGGTCAAATCCACCACGTCAGCTGGCGCCTTGCCATTCTCCACGCTGGGGGTGGCGCTGGCGGGCGCTGGCGGTGCCCCGTTGACATCCGAGGTGGTGCCTAGAAAGGCAGGGGAGAGGCCGAGCGGTGAGACCCCCTACAGGCGCCTCCATGCCAGGTGGTCTGGGAGGGGGCTCTAAACAGAGCGTTGGGAAGTAAGCCTTGTTTTCAATCAGAGTTTGGTGTTGATTTTGCTTACTGTTTTTAGCAAGCAATTTGTTTGATGCTTTAAAAATACTAATATGCCTGCCATTTTTAGCTTTAAATGCTATGCTATCTTTTAATGATGGGCTTGGTGGGGATGCAGAAAATACACACAGTCTTAAGGAGCAACCTTCTTGGTGGCTGCTCCTTAAGAATGGGGAACTCCCTGCCACCAGATGCTAGGCTGGCCCCAGCTTGATTGTCCATCCACCGGCAGGCCAAGACCTTTCTCTTTAGGCAGGCTTTTCCTTAATGACTAGTGGTTTTGAGAGGGGTTTTCAAATGGATTGTTGTGCTCTGTTGCTTTAAATATGCTTTACTGTTGATTTCATTTACCATTTTAAATATAATACTTGTTTAATTCTTTTCTAATAATTAACTGTTTTTAGCTTTTAAATGTTGTCTTGTTAATGAAGTAAGCTGTCTCAGGTCCTTTTTTAAGGAGAAAGGCTGGGCAAAAATATTTTGATTAGATTAAATAAAACCTCCAGGCCCCAAGGAAATCTATCTTTTCAATAAAATCAATCAATCAAACAGATTGATCTCTTTCCTCTCCTCCTTGTGAAAATATGTGGCTCAAATCAATGCCGGATTTCCAAGACCGGAGGGCACAACCTTAATAATCTTAGACTCTTAATAATCTTTGAACGACAAAGCTGGAAGCGACCCTCTGGATTATCTGGTCCAGCCCGTCAAGGAGGCCCAGTGCGGGATTCGAACTCCCAACCTCAGGCTCCACAGCCAGAGAACCTCAACACCTGAGTTCTTCCGCAGGAGCAAAACCTTCCCCTTACACTGGAGGCCTGGAAGCTCTGGCAACCTTGAAAATGCTCCCTTTCTGACTGGTTTTTTGACAACTCCAAAATCTATTGCATGTGTGTGTGTGTGCGTGTGTAGATGAACGGTGGAGGGGGGGTGGTGATGTGAAAATCCAAACACAAACACACACCCCATATCAGATTTAGATACATGCCTCATGCTTTAAGCTTGAAAGGACTTTTTTAAGTCTGTTGCCGACCAGGCTTTTGAGACCCACCTGCGGAACTCCCCACCACTAAGATGGGACACTGAGGGCTGTAGCTCCGTTCTTTCTCGGCTTTGATAGGACACCAAGAGCCATCCACCAGGTATTCTATCTCATCTGCATCCTCGCACTCCGTCAGGATTTTCGACAGGAGCCTGGAGACCGTGTACGAGAGAGAGTGAGAGTAAGACAGAGAGATGGCAGAGTGCCTGTTTTGAATCCGGCACAGGGCTTCCCTACAAAGAGAACCAGTTCCACCAGAGGAGATCTGGACAACCATCCCTGGCGACAGGCATATAGAAGGGGCGTTTGACGTGAGCCCGGGGGGGGGCAGATACGTCACCCACCAAGCCCTAAAACAGTGCTGTTAAAACCACTGGCTTTGCCCTGGCGAGGAAATGACTTTTGCGGTGTTGCTGTCGCCGACCTGGAACCAAGGATCAATGGGTGGTGCAACTTTCCGAGGCTTGACAAAGACCCTCCTTCCCTCCTTCCATGGAACAGATCACAGAGCAAGGAAGGTACAAAGCAAAGCTTTGCTACTTCAGATCAGAAGCTGTATCTTCCTCCAGCAGCGACAGAACGTACTGGGATTTGTGTATATATTGTGTTTGGGGGGGGGGAACACTCATTGCAGAATTGATCCACAGGCTAATAAAAGCAGGAGCCCTCACAGCCTGTTCGGTGTGCTTAGTTTCGCAAACCAGGAATATTACGCTTTGGCCACCGGCTTTCGAAGGAAATTGCAAAACCCACAACATAAGAAAAAGCAAAACCACCACCTGCTTGTCAGTCTCATGACCTGGGAGATTTTTCAAAGGGGCCGGCTGATCCCTCCACGGTCTGTCTTGATGGGAAAATCTTGGCCGTGGCGAGCTGTGTTCCTCCCCCCACCTGTGTGAGCAGACACTCGGCGCCACTCACCCGTCAATCATCAGCTGGTCGTACGTGGCCGGCTTGTCGCACACGGGACACATCCACGTGGGCTTCTTCTCGTTCATCTGCAGGTAGAAAACGGCGTCGAAGCACTGCAGGTGCGCGCACGACTCGGCCCGGCAGGGGACGGAGAGGCGCATCTTCACCAGCTGTGGGGGGAGGGGGGAAAACACACAGATGTGTAAAGCCCAAAACAGGAACGGAGCTGACGGAGCGGGGCGGGCAGGAGACTTGGGGTGGACGGAGGCAACAAATCACTAAAATACATTCAAACGCCGACTCTGCTCTGGAGGTGAGGTCTCAAGGGGTGTACAGACCGGGCTTTGGAAAAGCAATGAGTTTAGGAGCGACCTCTGTGTTTCATCCTTTCGCTCCTGGGCAGTTCCTGATGCAGTTTGGAAACCGTTCTCATTGGAAGAAAGAGCCGTGCTCCGGAAATGAGTTTAAACTAAATCCATCCTGAGGCCAGAAACTTCCTTCTAGGTCCCACGTTGTATCACGCCGCGGAAGAACTTACCGGGCAGATCAGGGATACTCGGACGCCGGTGGTGGCAATTTCACTTTCGGGATCCAGGCGTAAAGTGACCAGGAGCAGGACCCTTGAAGTCAGGCAGACTAGAGAGGTCAAAGACCCTGAGCCAGGCAGGCAGGCGGGAAGGAAGAGAGGAAGGAAGGAAGGAAAAGAGAGAGGTGGTCCTCAATTAATGACTCACACTTCCCCCTAGGATCTCCAGACTACATGGAGATGTCTGGCCATCAAGGAAGATGATAACAAAGATGGTTTTCAACATCTTTGCTGCTCCCAGAGACGGTGGAACTCCCCACCAATGGAGGCCAGGCTGGCCCCATCTTTGCTGTCCTTTCACAAGCTGGCGTAGATCTTTCTCTTCAGGCAAGCGGGGTTTTTAGACAGATGGCTATGCATTTCCCCCCTTTACTTTTTGTTTTTAGTACCCCTTGTGCTTACCATTTCTCAGAGTGGCATTTGTTCCGTTTAAACATTTGTATACTTATTGTTTTTAGTTTTAACATTATCTTCTGAGGATGTCACCTGCCTTTTTATACCCACTGTTCTTAGGTTTATGTATCATCTATTAACGGTGCAAATCACAGTTGCTTACTTGTTTTCTGCTTTATAAATATTATCTCTCAAGGTCGTGAGCCTTTAAGGAGAAAGGCAGGGTAAACGTATTTCAAATAAATGAAATGATGGCCAACCCACGTCTCCCGTCAGGGAAGAATTTCAGGACCTCTGGATGATCAACATAGAAATTCTTCCCTCTTTTTTGATGTTTTTGTTGCTGAGGGACAAAACCAGGCCAGACATATTTGTAATCGCTCACTCATCAACCTGTGTGACACTGTGGCTCCCTTATTTAAGATACAATGGAGTCTCGACTTACGGTCAGCTCCACTTACGTACTTTTCAACCTACGGAATTCTCCGGCCGCAAAGTTTTACTTCAACTTGTGGCCGGAGAATCGACCTACAGACCAGAAGGGGGAGGCGGGGGGAAGGCTTTCCCTTTCCCCACCTCCCCCTTCCAGTCTGTAGGCCGTAGGTCGTGCCTTGGGATGCCTTCCAGGGCTGCTCCGCCGCCATGGAAGGCATCTCGGAGGGCCCCCCCCACCGTCGATAGTGCTTCGGAGCCACTATTGGCGGCGGGGGCGGGGGGGGAACCCCCGGATGCCTTCCAGAGAAGCCTTGGAAGGCATCCAGAAGTCCCCCCCCCTGCTGCCGCCACTGATGGGAGCCTTCGGAGGTCTCAAAGGGCTTTCTTCCCAACATCGGAGGAAGCCGTTTGAGACCTCCAAAAGTAAAAAGGCAGGGAGAAAGGGCTAGAAATTCAAATTCCGATGTCAGGAGGAAAGCCCTTTGAGACCTCCGAAGGCTCCCAGCAGTGGCTGCGGCGGCAGGGGGGGACCACCGGATGCCTTCCCCGCCGCCATGGGAGGCCTTTTGGAGGTTCCCCCCCACTGCCGATAGTGCCTCCGAAGCCCTCCCCTAGTAGGCCCGTCCACCCTGGCAAAACCTGCGCCGGCGGGAGGGGGGAAGCTCCGAGAGGCCTCCGGCAGTGGCGACGAAGCCCTCAGAGTCCTCCAGCAGCAGTGATGGCGGTGGCGGGGGACCCCTGGAAGGCTTCAGAAAGGTAAGTTTTTATTTTTAAAATGTTATTTCAACTTTGTGTGTTTGTGTGGAGGGGATTTTCTTGGGCGGGTTACGGATTAAATGGTTTTCAATGCATTCCTATGGGGAATGCATTTTCGACCGGCGTGCTTTTCGACCTACAGACTCCATTCCAATATGGATTAATTCCGTAGGTCAAGACCCCACTGTACGGTTAGATCAAGAACAGGAAAGGAGGAGGAGGGGGCCCTCACCCAGCGCCTTGCAGAGCTCCGGGTGCTTGATGCCGATCGTTTTCAATCTCTGGAGCAGCTCCGTCGAGGTCATCTGTCGTACGAGGAAGAGCCCCACGGAATAACTCTGGACGCCAGACCAGGGGAGGGAGGAAAGACAGACAGTGGGTGAGGCCCAAAGGGTGGAACAAGAGAAGAGAGCAGATCCCAAGGGCACGATCCGACCCAACTATCTAAGGAAAGTTACACCTAGGGACTTAGGGGGAGGACTTACCAAACTCCATGGGTGGACCGGGGTCTACTCTAGAGAAGATTAATGGCGGGCTTTGGCTGGCGGATTTAGAAGAGCAGGAAGGGGAAAAGGGGCTTCCCCCCCACTGCCAGAACCCTCACCCCACCCGCCCCAATCCGCACCTTTCCGTAGTTGCCCCAAATGACGGTGATGCGGTTGGTGGCGGAAGACAGGTAGAGGAGGTGCGTCAGGTTGATGGGGCGACATGGCCGCTTGGGCTCCACCCCTGGCTTGTTGGAAGGGTAATAACCCTTTAAAAAAAGGGGGAAAAAGGGAAGGAAAAACAGAGAGAAAGGTTCATTTTAGGTTTTAAACCCCCCCCCCAGAAGTATCTGTGTGATTCATCAGTTTAAAACAACAACCACACACACACGGAAATCTTCAGAGTCGTCTCACACTTTCTCTCCTGCATGCAGGCCACACAGAGGCCACAGGACTACACAGCCCATTCTCCCCCTCCGACCCACACCCACCCCGGCGACTTCATTCGGATCATGAACAAAAGCGTGTTTACAGCAAATGGGTGGTGGTGGTGTTGTAGTGGTTCGAATGTCCGACGAGGATCCCAGAGGCCCGAGTTCTAATCTCAGTCCAAGCACAAAACCCCAGGGCCTCACCACCCTTTTTCCCAGGCAGAACGTTTAGGCTTAACTTACAGGGACAGAACAGTAACTATGGTTCACTTTGACGGCGATATTGGGAGGGTATTGGTCTTCCTGAGGGCAGCTGGTGTCTGTGTAGCAGATTCTAGAAGAGAAAAATCAGGATCAGAAACCCAGGTCAAGAAGAGGACCGATCCGGGTTCAGATCTTCCATCACCACCCCCACTCCCACCCTGCTTCCTTAGGGGTCACATCTTTTAATACACCCATTACGGTTTTGCTACCCAGTTCCTGAGACTTACACCCCCTGAAAAGCCCAGAGCGACCATGAGTCTGATGGGGCAGTATATAATAAAAATTACAGGAAACAAGCAAGCGAGCCAACAAATACTTTAAAAGACAATTCTGTTTATTTGGGTTGGGTGTCTTTCGGGAGAGTGAGACCCATTCGCCGGAGTCAGCTGAACTCAGGGGAAGGACTCTGAAGCCGAGCCGCTTGTGTGCTCCTTGCCCACTCCACGGCCTCGGTTTTACCGCCTGCCTCCCTCCCCCTCAGGGGTTTTAATTAACCACCGCCAGCTTACCTGAGGACGACCTGAATGGATCTCACACCTGGCTGTAGCTCCCTGCCGAACAGACAGGAAGGGAGGAAGAAACAGAAGATAATACAGATTAAGCTCCCATCTTAAACAGAAAAACAAACAAACCCAGAGAAATGCTTGCCAGGGTCATTGGGACCCTCCTAACGTAGGTATTTTGCATAGCTTTCTCCACGCGTGTTCATAAACGCACTCCCCCCAATTGTTCTCGTATTGCTGCTTTCCCCTCCCCCCATGCAAAATAAACTGTAGCTAAGATCTTTTTGCTGCGGTTGTCTTTTGCTTCATCCGACCGGGTGGAACGCAGCCCCTGACTATTCAAACCTGATGCTCCGTTGGAAGAAGGGTCCAGCTAAGGCTCCCATTTTACAGACAAGGAACACAGAGGTCCGGAAGTAAGCAAAGGAACCTCAGGCCAACTCAGGGGTTAAGACACCTGGGCTGATTTTGCAGTTTTACTTGCCACTGTTAGCACCACCAGGAGCCAAAAATAAAAATAAACAAAATCTCCCTGGTTCCTCAACTCCTACAACCTGCCCCGAAATTGACCTTCCGCCTCCCAGCAGGCTACGAGCCGTTGATTCCGGGAGCATACCTGGAGTTTCGGATCATGTCCACTTGCCGCGGCGTCAGGGCAAAGACGCAGGGGCTTTCCTGAAGCTTCTCGTTGTTCTGAGGGACTGGAGGGAGGGAAGCAAAAAGAGAAGATCGGTTTACACCGAGCAAGGAAAGAGAGGAAAGCCAACTCATGAAACCCAACAGCCCCCCCCCGTCTCTCTTTCCTGGGGGCAGAGGTAAAGAGGAAGGGAAAAAAAAACACCACTTCATTGTAAAGGCCTTTTTTGGCGGGAGGGAGGCGTGCTTTAAAACCAAGAACAGCTTCTGTGCTGGGAAGAATCAAGCTTTTATCACCCCCAGGAAGACCCGGGCAGCCCTGTAAAGACGAACCAGCGTTTCATGAAGCCTATGAGTTTTGTGTGTGTTTGTGTGTGTGTGGATCCGCTGGGTCAAATCACACACCATTCCTCCTTCAAATAGCATGTCGTGCAGAAGGTATACCTCGGTTTGTCTGCAGCGGGGGGGGGGAATCAACCTGAGCTCATCACCGTTCCAGGTACAGATGTTTCAGAGCAACGTTTTACAGGCCAAATTGGACGGATGGACATCCTCCTGTTACGGTCTCAGGGCCAAGTAGTTTCCCCCCCCTTCAGGTGGAGCCCAGCAAGGTTCAAGAGGTGTGGGTGGGTTCCCTGGACTTGCTGTAGCTGTCTGCTCCTGCCATCATCCCATCTGGAGCAGCTCAGGTTTAGCAAAGTGGCTGTATGGGGTGTACCTTCAGCTTATGACCAAGTTAAGTCGGGCACAGAAAAAGGGATGGAAAGAAAACCCAGCCGAATGGGGTGGAAAATGCCATCGGTCTTGGTGGAGAAGGTTAAAAAAATAGCCTCTGATCACCCTTTGATTCCCATAATGAATATGTTATAACAGCAGCACAACGGCTCATTGCAAACAACAACAACAACTTGGAAGCAAAACTGGGTTTTCCATTTGCACGAAGGGTGTAGCGAAATGTGGAATATTGCACTTAAGGATAAACTGACTTCGGAAATTAAGTTTTAAAAAAGGAGAATTAAAGAAAAGTAGGCTTAATGAGATATGGGATGGATTCATAAGAGCTGTCTTGAGAAAAGGAAAAGGGGAAGAGCCAAACAAGGATGATATGTGTTTTTGGAAGCAGATCTGGGGACAGTTAAATGATGGGAAGAAGGTGAGGGATAAGCGGGGGAGGGGAATTAAATGAAATGTCATGGTCTACAGGGTGAAGGTAACACTAAGTTTTTGTGTACATATTTTTGTATGTAATTCATGTGAAAAGAATATTAATTTTATGTTATATTTTATGAATATGTTTACATTTAAAATTTTAAAAAATATATTACACCCCCAAAAAACCACACCTTTGATCGGAGGAAAAGGTGCTTCTGGTATAGACTGTTTCCAAAGATGCTTTCAGACTCTTTAAAAAAAATCAGCACCAACGAGCAAAGGAAAATCGAGGACTCTGCCATCGGGGTAGGGGGAAGGAGAAAGGAAATTCCTCATAGAAACTATTTCAAGAACAGCCAAGAAATATTTTCCCCAAAAGTAAACAATCACAGTAGGACCTCTGTATCTGCAGGGGCTCAGTTCCAACCCCTCCCCTGGATGCTGAAAAACGCAGATGATTGCAAACACTCTTTTAATAGCGAATGCACAGTCTCTGGACCCCTCTAGTGGCCAGTTCCCATAACTTCACTGTTAGAAATCTCCATTTTGGGGATTTTTCTTTTAATATTTTTAATATTTTTCTTTTAACATTTTCAGCCTGTGGATCAGTGAACCAGCAGATACTGATCCTGTCGATAAGGGGGTCCTATGGGATCTCCAAAAATACATCCTTAAAGGTACCCATGTTTCCCCGGGGGATGCTTCTGGGGCCCAGAACTTACCGGGGCTGAAGTGTTACATCGGTGTCAAGCCCACTTTTTAAAAGCACTGACCAGGACGATTTAGGGATGAACGAGGAAGGAAAGATCAGTGCAAACTCATCCCGGCAATCTTAAGGTTGCTAAAAGCTGGAGGGGGGAGGTCCTGCCCGCCTGGAGGGTTGTTGCTTTTGAGCAACCGAGATCCCTGGGTGTAAATCCATCCCCGGATGTACAGGCGCAGGGCGGAGTTAAGAAAAGTAATTTAAAACCAAAGACTGGTCTCAACTGCCGAGCTTGGAACCAAGGAGGATAAACAGAGGAGGCAACAAGGAGAGTTAATTCTACACCTAGGCTTTTATGGGGCCCCCTTGGAGAAAAAATTTTGGACCGGGTCCTAGAACGTTTTGCTTGAGACAATTCCCAGCCATTGCGATTGCTGGCCAGCCAGGGTTCCTGGCCAATGATGTCCAACATCCCCTCACTTGGGAACTGTCAGATCTCAAGGTTTTCCACACATCACATGCCAGTCACCAGGAGGTGGCGGCGTGACATGGCGGCAAAAACACCCAACGCGATCCTAGCCTAAAGGATAAGAAGAAGGAAAGGCTCTCTTGCGGTCGAAGGGAGATCACTCCGGACACCCTCCATGACTAAAAGAGCTTAAGAAGCAAACCAAAAAGCAGCCGCCTCCTTCCACCATGAAATATTTCAAGGACACGGACCCCCCCCCCCCGCTTGTTCTCTCCACTGTTCTTTTCAGGAGGATCCCTGTTAAATTTAATTCCATTACTTATGAGGTGCCAAAGTCACTCTGTGGCGGCCAGGCCTGGCTTTTGCAGGAGGCAAACAAACGCCGGTGCTCAAAGGTGGGGCAGCTGGTCTGGGAGCCTGCTGGCCAGAAGGCTTCTCCCAGGCGTTTCAGTGGGGTGGCTCGCTGGCCACACAGAACCCCTCTGCTTGAGGAACCGGACCACTTGCCTCTTGGTGTCCAGGTTCGGTCGATGGCGCTGGGTCAGTCACCACAAACCTCGGCGACGTGAAATTTGGTGCCTTGAGGGGAAGGGCCTTCTCCCTCCCCGATCTTGAGGCCCTCCCGGGAGTCATTTACAAGGAGAGATTTAAGTGTGTTGGCCCCCATCCCTGGGGGGGGGGGAATGACAAAAATCCGACACCCTGACCAGTTTAGGACATTCAAAACTCACCTGTTTTCCCAAAGCCTTTGCTGCGCAGCCCAAACTCTCTTCCCCTTTCTGGGCTCTATTAATGTCGCGTCCTTACCCGTTTTATCATTACATGCTGCTCTGGAAACCTCTGATCTAAGCGGTTCATGTGTACACATGGAAATAAATATATGAATTAAAACCCAGGCACAAAGTGAAACCCTGGGGGATAAAGTAACCGTCGTAAGCCTTGTCTCCAGCCTGCGTTTCCTTTTGGCAAAACTGCCGAAAGATCATCTTGGAGGAGGGACGGTTTATACTGTGAGTTTTCTTTCCCTGTTCTGCGGTTTGAGAGTCCTACAGAACAATGCCAGGGTTTAAACCCGCATCTCTGCCAGGTCCTGCTGTGTTGTTTTTCCGAAGCCAACCTGCGGTCTCCGCTACGTACCTTCCTATTTTCTAGTACATCTCGCCTGGCTCCCAAACACATGCAAATCAAAACCCTCACAGAGCTAAAGGCAAACGGCAAGGCGGAAAAAAGCAGGGCCCTCCTGAGCGTCTCTGGCGGAAATAAAGAGACCAGAAAGGGCTGGTCCGGAATCCCATCCCGGACGTTTAGCATTGCAGGGGTTTCATGGTGGTCTCTCCTCCAGCCAGCATGCTCACACCCCTCGCCAACCCACACAGGCAGAGAGAGAGAGAGCTCTGAAGGGGGGCTATTCCCCCACCCACCCGAAACCCTCCCGGGGAAGGGACTCCCCCTCCAGCCCCACTCACCGAGCTCGGTGGGTTTCAGCAGTTCGTCCAAGATGGTGTAGAATGGAAGTTTCACTAGCCGCACCTCTGGCTTGGCTGGCTTGACGGGTAACCGCCCGAGTCCGTTTAAATACTTCCCGTAGAGGGAGGGATAGTCAATGTTCGGGGTGGAGAGGGCAGTCCGGGCCACTGTGTTGCTGCGGTCGTAAGACGGGTGGAGGGAGAGGGCGTCGGGGGGAGGTCGGTGCGGGGGCTGCGGGGGTGCCGGCTGCTGTTGGGACAGCTGAGGCGGCGGCTGGGGGGTCTGCCCCGAGTCCGAGAGCTTGGCGTACCGGGTCTCGTAGATCTCCTTAATCTTCTTGAACAGTTCCGGGCTGCAGTCGAACTGGACCAGCTGCAAGGCACGCGTGACCAGTTCGTGCTTGAGGCCGCTCTTGCTCCGGCCGACGAAGCCCAGCAACATCTGGAGGTCCGACACACGGAAGCTCATCACCATGTTCTGTGGGTGCGGAGAAGACAGACAGAGAGAGAGAGAGAGAAGACAGACTGAACCCAGGAGTGAAAGCTTTGCTCGTAGACCAAATGGCCTTGTGACAGTTTGGGCAACTAACGGGGGTGAGGGGGGAGGGCGGACATTCCCTCCAAATCTTGGTTATTCATTCATTCATTCATTCATTCATTCATTCATTCATTCATTCATTCATTCATTCATTCAAGACTTTCTTTTTTTATGTGTATTTTCTTTTTTAAAAAATCCTTCCCCCGCCCCCAGGGTTCTGAAAGCAATGCACACTGAAACAGAGAAAAACATTCTGGACAAATACAGGCAAAACCAACCGATGATGTTTTCAACACAGATTCAAAACCACTCCAACCAACCAATCAATCAACCAATAACAACCAATGGCATGAAATGCCACGTGGATAAAGCCATCCTGATACACCTTCAGAGGCAGTTCCGGAATGGAAGGGCTGCTACAGAGAAGGGCCTGTCTCTTACACTCGCCTAATGGTCTCTCTGGGGTGGGGTGGGGGACAGAGATCTATATACTGGATCCCCTATTCCAAGCAATCTCAGACAGGGAATGGCAGCTTTTGAGACACCAGTGGTTGAGCGCTCGCTTGCTGGGCCAAAATTCAGAGTGACCACCTTTCAGGAAGAACGGTTTCCCTATCCTGATCTTCCATCTACTCATTTCTCTCCTTCTCAAAGCTGAGATTCCTTCCGAATAATTTGTGTCCAGATGCAAGGAGAGGGCTAACTCAAGACCCGTTACTGCCTGAGACTTGACAAACGCCGGAAGTGGAAACATTACAAGCGACACAGGGAATTCAGACCACGCTGCGCCCATCTTGGCCCGCCCATGAAAAACGGGTCTCCTGACAGAAGGCAACCAGCGTGGAATTATGGAGAAGCAAAGGCTCAATCTCCTGGTTAAGCCCCTCCACCTCCTTCCTAACCCTCTGATTTTTTTTCTCTCTCAAGCAACAGGGTGGGAGATTTAGCTCTGCATCTTTACCACCTTGTTCTTTCTTTATCTTTAAACAGCAAGCGCCTAGCCCTCGTGGAGGACGGAAACCCTGGCAGGAAAGATTCCGTTCCTCTTCTTTGCATCCAGGGGGAATTCTTCCCATTTCCGCAACTGGGATTTTATCCTATCCTGCTATCTCCCCCCCAGTCACTTGAGGCAACCCACAAAACTTTGCGCCATTCATACATTGCTGGTTCAGCCCCACAGCTTCTGTCCAGCTCCGTTACCAGCTGCCATCAACACCCAGGAAACTTTACCACGGGCAAATTATACCCAAACTCTCCTGCAAGAAGGGGAGACAGGAGACAGAAATGGGGTCTTCCTGGCCATCAGAAACATCCTTTCTTTCCTCCTCCTGACTGAGCCAAAACTTGCATCACATTTTGCTGAAGGATCACCAAGCAAAATGTGATGCCAAGACAGAGGGGAGAAAACCCCACGGCCCTGATGCCAGCACCCCGATGACGACTTCAGCTGCCCTTTAACTCTTGAGCCACAACATCTTGGCTATAAGCCTCTGCATTTCTATGATGCTTCAACGTTTAAAAGCAGCCCACACACGGCGCAAACACCATCATGTAATACAGAGATATTATGTATTCTCATGCCGTAGGGGACCACTGTCTGCAGGATCAGTATTCACGGATTCACTTATCCGCAGGCTGAAAATATTAAATAAAAAAATGCTCAGAAATATCTATTTATTTGGATTTCCAGGGTGTATTTACCAGAATGGTCCCCTCAAGGGAGCCAGAGACCATGCAATGTGTCATGTTTTTCAAGGTCTGCGAAGCAGGATGGAACTGATTCCTCTGGCTGTACTGTCAGTGTGGAGCTGTGGCTGAAGACCTAAGTGGCTCACCAAGGAAGGAAGGGCAATAGTGGCCCTTCAAATGTTCTGGGGACTATGGTCCCCATCAGCCCCAGACAGTTCAGCCAATGGAGCGTGGTAGTGAAGCTGCCCCATGGTAGAGAAAATCCCACAGAATACACCTGGATTTGCACCAAGATGGAAGAGGCAGTCTTACCTCACCTGGTAGATTTTAATGGAGGCCTTCCTCTATCTTTCAAATCCATGCACAGCCCATTCCTTCCTCCCAAAGCTGCTCACGCTGCTTTTGTTTCCGAGTATTCCTCACTGCTAGAATGAACCACCTCTGTTGCTGCCAACTAAACCAGCCACTCATGTCGGAATCAACAAACCCAGCTCTAAAGGCACGATGGTAAAATTGCTACACAATGCGAGACCTCTCATATGACACACACCGACTATGTCGGTGGCAAAATAACTAGAAGAGTTCCTCTCGTTAAGATACAGTCAACTGAGCCCTGCAATGAGTTTATTACAGATGGGCTTATTACAGATGATACTTTGACTGAATAGATCTCTGAGCAGGTGGGCCACCGAAATGGGTGCCTTTTAGCTGTGTTCTGCCCACCATCCACTCTCTCCCTCAACACCTGTGCGCATGGAATGTAAATAAAGCATATACCTCAGGTAAACAGAAGGGCTGCTATACCAAATCTTCCTGTTTCTGCCATATCCATGATGCAGCTGGAATTTTTTATTTGCATAAGAACACACATTCACATCTATATTCATAGAACAAATATCTGTCCATCCAGGATGACATTTAATCCACCTGATAAAGTGGCCCTTAGTCTTAAAAAAAAAACAACAACCTTGAGCTAGAATAAACCTTCACCTTTTAAAGATGCCCACAGAATTCATGTGCCCATAAGTGTGTGCTGGCCACCTGGATGAAACTAAATGCAAGTTCCCTTACCAAGCATTACGCTCCCATTAACTCAATGGGGTTTACTTTAGCCGAAGCCAATACAGAACTGCTCTACTGTCACGGCTGAAAAATCAAAAAGCCAAACCCAGCATCTCTCGAGTCACCAAAGAGGGGCGGTTCCTCCTAATGTCCGGTGTGGTCCGTGTCTCGTCCAAGGGAACCGTAACAATATAAAACAATATTTAAAAAAACACAGGGGCATGTCAATACTGGAGAGAAAAAATAGGGAGAGATGGGTGGAAGTAGAAATGAAAAGAAAATGTCAAGTGAACTCAATAAAGGGAGGATATATAGAATCATAGACTACGTAATTGAGCTAGAAGGGGACTACAAGCCCATTGAGTCCAACTTTCCGTTCAAGACAGGAATCCAAATCAAAGCAAATTGGACAGCTGGTGGTCCTATTTTCTCTTGAAGGCCCCCAGTGTTGAAACGCTCACCCCCTTCCGAGGTCATAGCTCCCGCTGTCATACCGCTCTAACAGTTCAGCCAGAATCCGGCTTCCTGTCACTTGAGCCCATCATGACATGTCCTGCCCTCTGGGAAGATGGAGGACCAATCCCCTCCTCTGTAGGACCCCCCCCCTTTCAAGCCTCTGAAGAGTACTCTCCTATCCTCTGTCCTCTTTAAAGGGAAAAGGCAAAAGAACCAAGGAGCAGGGCCAGAGGAGCAACGGAGACGTGGTGTTGATTTACAACAGCTTTGAAGCCCAGCACAACCAGGGTGCCAACCCCAAGGGAGCAGCAGCAGCAGGAAGGCAATACAGCAAGTGGCAGAGAGAGGGGTAACAATGGGGTGCGTGTGAACCTGTACGTATACAGAGAGATTAATCTCATGGAGCTGTGACCAAAAGAAAAAAAAAGGATGGGTGCAGGAAGAGTGGTTACGGGGGAAGATCTAGCTGGGACCAGGAAGGGAACGAGGATCCCAGCAGTATCGGAAGCCTAGAGAGGGATTTTTTTTAGGCAAGAGAGAAAAATGAAGTTTATATTGGGGTAGGGGGAGCTTCTAAGGGGGAAGAGAAAGGAGGAGGCTCCTATGGGAGGGAGTGCAGAGAAGGGTCCCAGAAGAGGGATCGGGGGTTGTTTATTCCTGAAAGGAGGGGGACTCATCTACAGGGCACAGAGAGGGAAACCTTTTCATAATAATAAAGGGGTCAGGTGTGGGAAAGGCAAGGTGCTATAATGGGGGGGGACCAAAGCAGGGGGGAACCCATGTCAAGAGGTGCAGGGAGCGGGGGGGAGCCAATATTGGGGGGACTCCCTTTTCCCCTGAGAGTTAATGGGCGGGGCTTCAGGCTCCCCGGAGGCCACGCCCCCTCCTTCCCTCCCTCCCAGGTGCCTCCCCTGACAGAAAGGGCCGGTCCGCTCCCACCGCCTTCCTTCCCCGTGGGGAGGGAGCCCCAGATGAGGGACCCCCCTCACTTTCTTACCCCCTCCCCGAGCCCTCCCCGGTCTCCCTCCGCCTCTTTCACTCACTCACTTTCGCCTCCACCAGCTCCGCCGCCATCTTGGCTTCCAGCGTCCAACGCGCCGGGGACAGGTGGAGGGAGGGGGGCGAGGAAGGGAGAAGAGCCGACCGCGTCACGTGACGGGGATGGCCGGCCAATCCGAGACGCCCGGCTGTTTCCTCTCTTTCTTATTTTCCACTCCCGCCCTCCCTCCCTCCT